TTCAAAAGCTTAGAGTTGCAAAAAAGATTGGAGTTTTGAAAAAAGTCTCTTATGCTCACCCGGGTTGCATTTTTTTAACCAACAGTAGGATTATGAAATATCAAGAAAATACAGTAATACAAAAATAATATTGCAGTTTAAAATAGCAGTTTTATATTTTATTTATAAATATACATTTATAGTACGAACAGTATTAAAACAGAAAGGGAATTGTTGTAGTATTCTTGTCCAATCCTATTGGGACTGTTTTTTGGGGACAAAATTATTATACAAATTATTAACTTTCTTTTAGAAATTATTAACATTAATTCCGAACACATACACAGTTTCCTGTGAGAGCACCTACGCTTCACCAAAGAGTGAGATTACCTCAGCTTTCATTTGTACTAGTACAAACCAAAAATAATTCCGTCTAACACTGGATCAGCGAGTCACAGCATCAACCTTTTTGTGCAGCTGACTGTAAAAGTGACAGCATTTTGAACAGGAAGGGATGTCATAAGCACCCAAACGCCACTGAGGCATAAAGCCACGTGCCTTAAATTAACAGCTAAGGGAACAGACTGTGATTTGTACTGTCTATTCAAGACTGCCACCATGTTGGTTTAATGTTCATCATTTACTGAAAAATTGAGCAGCAGATCAGTTGAAGCAGAAGATGTGCATCATTCTGGGAAATAAGGGAATAATGCCACTCCTGTTGTTAATGACAATAATATGTTACACAGGAAAAAAGTCAAACTAGGTTTTAGTGTCGGTTAAAAGAACCTGCCTTTAGATCCAGTCAAAAGAGCTAAGCATTTTCTGCCAATGCTTTAATCTGCTAGTGGATTTTTCATTTTGCCTTTCACATTCAGCGAATGATACGCTCAAGAAAGAAAATACTGACCTCTGGGCTTTAAAATACTGAATAAGTAAGCTCAACATATTGCCCTCCCACAAACCTCAACAATACCTGACCCCTCTGGCCAATGGGCTGTCAGCGTTTTAAAAGAAATGTGCCTATTCAACAGAGAACCTGGGGGTTTAAAGTTACCTCCGTCTTCCCTTTGCTTTGACAGGACCTCCTGGTGTCTTCGTCTGGGCCCCATTCCGTCGCCTAGGAAACCAAAATAAACCCCGAAAAAGTGACTTGCCATGATTCGCAGTTGCCCGGCAGCTGTTTGCAATAAAGCAGGAGCCAGGTTACACAACTGTTAATGATAATATTGCATTTAGCCAGATGCATCAAAAGACATTAACCTTATTGTGGTGTTTATTGTGTAAACAGCATGATAAGTGGGCCAGTGTCTTAAAAGGGTGAGGTAACTAGACAGTTGGAAGACCAGATGCAATTTGCATGTAAATACCATCCCCTAGTCTCATTCACGCACAGAGACCTCGTCGTCTTCTCTCTTTTTTTTTTTCACCAGCGCAAGACACTCCATTTTCCTCTGCCCAATTATGTCCCCTTAGAGCTGTGTGTCCAGCCAACAATAATAGAGGCAGCACTTAAAAACTGCAATCCTGCTGTCTTAAAGGGTTAGTTCACCAAAAATGACAATTCTGTCATTAATTACTCAGCTATCCCTTTAAGGTGAGCACAATCAAACGCACCTTTCACAAATTATTCAGATATAAGCACAAAGCTACCACCTTTATCTCTCAGCTTGAGGTCCCATTGGTTCAGATCTTGACTGAAACTCTAAATATAGTTAATTTGTTTGTATGGCCCACTAAGGTTCAAAGGAAATATTAGAAACATATGAAGCCGTTCAATGTGGAAAAGGAGATGAAGCTGATGGTAATTGGTTTAGTGTATTAATAGCGCAATTTCCTCTTACATGACTTGTCATGCTGTGGCTCAAGTGAGCTCTGACTGATGGGACTGAATCATAATTATTGTGAACATTTGAACCTGGAGGAATATGGCAAAGCAAGAAGGAAGAGAAATAGACAAATTCATCAAATAATTGAATGAACAAGCTCCAGACACGAAGTTGGTGTGCTTAAGAGAGATTCAAGATATTCTTGGTTAATTTTTCCCCACATGCCAATTAAAAACAGCAAATATAGCCCATAATGTTGTATTTGGATTTGATGAAGTTGAGCATTTTCATGCAGATTGGATAAGTGAGACCAAGAATGACGGTGACGTCAAGACAGAATTAAGAGCTAAATGAAAAATTGATTAACTATTAAACCCAAAGTGAAATAACATTCGCCAGACTGAACGAAAAGGACATTTCAATAGGTGGCGCAATGCACCTTTCAGATTATATCTTATTGGTCGGTGAGTTGATGTAACTGGACAAAGAAAAATACATCAATCAACAAGACGAAAATTCAAAAAGACTTTGTCCTACACCACAGCTCTCAAATGTCATTTGTATTTCTAAATAGGATAAACACAAGAGCATTTAGTCATCCTTGACATTGACATGTTTTGATGCAACATGTGAATAAGATTTGAGAACTATTGCAGAGGCCAATTTTTTTTCATCATATTAGGAGCTCACCAGCAATCACTTGGTGGAAAAGAGTTCTTGCATCAAAACTTTTCAAACCTGAAGAAAGTCACAATGGCTTGAAACTACATAAGGATGAGTAAATCATGGTAAAACTTCCATTTGTGGGTGAACTGACCAATTAATACTGAGAAACTGCCTGGATTTTTAATGGTTGCATGTATAGATTTAGCTACTTCCTTCTTGCCAGTCAAAGCAGTTAACAGCACCAAAGTTGTCATGTACAACAATGCCACACAGATCTGGTGCTCTTTTGTTTGTGTTTGCATTCATGTGTGTTTCAGGACTGAGACATGTTTGTGATCGATGCCTAAGCGGTGAGTCATCGTTCAGGTCATTAACATCTTGTCTGTGAGCCCCTGTTTTCTGGAAGAATCCGTCAGCTTAACCCTGACCTTAGCCACGGCAGTCCCTCTCTTCACACCACACTGGAACAATGCCAGCCCTCCAATGCTATTCCCAAAAAGCATTCTGAAGAGGCAGGCTGTGAAAAGCACACTGTATGCCATGTTTGGCGAAGGCTTGAATGTGAATTTGGAAACCCTGGGCCAGAATCCACCAGGCTGGGGTGGATGGAGATGGGAGAGCTTTTCACTGGTGGGAGGTTTGAACCTTTGTATGACAAATTACTTTGGACAAGTGTTATGCCAAAGAGGATGAGGTGATATATAGATTAAAAGCATGCAGAGGTAATGACGTAACTGTTTGTTCATTAAGCCTGGGTTTTTCAACCTTTTTTTGTCTTATACCCCCATAACCCCATCAGTACGGTTCAAGTACCCTGTCATAAACGCTAGCAAAAAATGTGGTCTTACACTGGATTTCGTGTAGCTTTACTGATAAAATAAAATAAAATAAAAATGGTTATTATTAAAACTGTTATTATTTTTGTTCTTTATTACTACTACTACTACTACTACTACTAATAATAATACATTTCAATCTTTTAAAAAAAAAAATTCTTATACTGGATTTAATTAAGCATTATCAGTAACATTAAAAAAATGAAGGTTTAATAATAATAATAATAATAATAATAATTTATCATTACTAATATTATTACTACTACATTTTTTTTTTTTCTTATACTACACTTAATTTTGCATTATCAATAAAATAAATAAATAAATAAAATAATGTTTATTATTATTATTATTAATCATTATTGCTATTCTTCTTCTTATTATTATTATTATTAGAATGATTTCAAAATCAAATAATAAAAATTAAAAAAAAAATAGCTACAATGATTCACTTTTAAACTAAAAACTGAAAAATAGACTCACAGTAGCTTCCTCTTAAACTGAAGAGGTTTGATGAAAATAGAGACATATGCTAAGAAAGATAAACGACAGTTTCACATCCCTACAACAAATGATGCACCATAAAGTAGTCCAAAATGCTTTTTTTTTCAACTGGGAATAGCTGTAAAACTCCCTAAAGGGTATAAAAGACGTTGAAATCACAGATGAGCATCCGTTTCGCCTACAAAGCTGTCAAATGAAAAACACAGTGAGGCATGTGTGCTGAGTGAGACTGTGCAGTCTAATGTGGCTCTGCAATTGGATCTCGCTGGTCTAATGAGGCCACTGCACCGTGCATGTGCACTAGCTCAGAAATCACACTCGGCACCACTATTTGTGGCATAATGGTGGTGGCACCAAGCGCCCTGCCCCTGGCATCCTCATGAAATAGTATCATGAATTTTTCATGGAGGGATAAAATAGTTGGGATTTATTTATACATAAATTAGTGAGGCACAGAAACAACGCCGGGATAGAAAATGCATTCCATTCACATCAAGTATTGAGAAAATGCTAATACGAGCACAAGATAGGGCAGGATGGTGGAGAATTACCCAGTTTGCAAGCTGTGTGCTTCCGTTGATAAGGCTATTGTCTCGCTGGCACATTACAAGTGTTATAACCAAAAAGCACATCATGGGACACTGCACCTGTCCTCAGGCCACCTTCAAGCACTTGTTACTCGTCATTACGAAGACACCATTTATGTCCCACAATATGTTGGCAAATGAATTTTTTAAAAATAACAATATTCCTAAAATATATCTAAATCATACATGGTCATAAAACTGCATGCATAATATAACCTTTTTTTGTTAATGAATTATATAATATGAATCATTTAAACATACACAGCAAAAGGGATCATTATAAACAAACTATAGCACATATTAAAGCAAAGGAAAAAAAATCAAATACAGGTCTGGCTCAAGCTAAACTTTCCTGGCTAAAGTACAGGCTTCTGGACACTGATAGCACTCTTTGAAATTTCATGTAAACTTTGCATATGAATTTTCTTGCAGATGGTGTTTTATATGTAATCCTTGCATTCTGTTTTCCAACAACAGTCTCATATAGGAAGCTAAAGCATCGTCTAAAGCATCTGCAAAGTAGAATAAAAAATAAAATAAAATAAATAAAATAAAAATAAGAAAAAAGAAACAAAGAAAGACCAAAGCCAGTGAGTCGCTTTGTCAAAAGTACTTTTACACATAATTTCTTAGGATATACAGACTGTGCAAAATTTTCCTTTCCTTGCAAAAAAGTCTTAATCATTATTGGTTTTAATTAAATATAGATATAGAATCTGTATGAGATGTTTCATTTTTGGAATTAATTCATTAAAAAAAAAAAAATCTTAAATTAAGATACATTTTTCTTGTGATACTTGATATCAAAACAAGTTTTTTTTTACCCGCCTCGCAAACAATTGTTTTAAATGAAAAAATAAATATTCTCTTCTAACACAATTTCACTTTTCTAGTAAATTTATTTTTAAAAATGTTTAGATATTTTACCAGAAAACAAGTCAAAAATACCAATGACTAATTGTTTGCATGAACACTCCCTTCCCTCCAAAACTTTACTGGTTTGGGATGAAAACGTCATTTGCATACTCATTAAGGAGGCCCCTGATTAAAGTGTGATGGCTCCGCCCCCATCCAGCCGGCTGGAGCAGCGAGGCTATCCGTCTCATTGCGGATCTTCAAGGTCTGTGTGCTTCAATAGGCAAGCCGAGGCACCGCCCTGTTTTGTCCTTTAACAGAGTGCCCTATTCAAGCGGCCCCATCCCCATTTACCGCCGCCCTCAAAGATGTGACATGACTCTCAATACCTTCGCCTCATTGTCTAAGAACACTGAACCTTACACAAGAGGGCGCAGATATGCTCTCTAACATCTCCTCCTTCCCCCATGGCATTCCCTGAGCCGTCTCTCTCTCTCACTTCACATTCCAAAACCATATTCACCATCAGAAAAATAGAGGCAGTGTAGCATGTGGGTGAACACCCCGCTCCGTAGGCCTGAATAAGGGTACTGCCTGGTTTTGTCTAGAGACGTGTGTGTGCCCAGGACATGCAAATAGTGAGCCCTTTGAAGGTTCACAGCTGTGCCGTCTGAACGCATTTACTTGGGGCTGGAAAAACAGGATGAGAAATGAAGCAACAGGTCAGTGTCTAATGCACAGCTCTAACAATGTGGTTGCACTACAACACCGGGATAAAAGCATCATCGCACGCACAGTAAAGGCGTATGTGTGGACGTGAGTGATGGCTTTAATTTAAGAAGG